GAGAGAGAGAGAGAGAGAGAGAGAGAGAGAGAGAGAGAGAATGTGGGAGAGAATGTGGGAGAGGGAAAACCAGAGAACCGCAGAACTAGGGGATGAGCAGCAAGAGCGCAACGATTGTGTTGTTTCTGGCCGCTGCACCTTGCTGTCTGGATGGCATTCTGATGGCAGTGTCAGGTAGACAGCAGGCAGACGTCAGGGGCCATAGTTTTGGTTTGGCCGCCACCTTTGGTGTCCTCCGGACTGCTATACCAGGCTGCCCCAAGCCCCAAGCTCTCCCACATATACAGCAGTATCTGAGGAGGCAGTTGGTGCGTTGGCAACCTGATGCCGACGGATATTTACAACCGTACCCACAGCATTCTGCTTTCTGCATCACATTGTCAGCACCAGCAGTATTGGACAGGAGGAGAGTCTTTTTGTCTTTGTAATCAGATAATAATAAACTGATGGGAACAGGAACTGGATCTTACTTAGCCAAAAGGCCAAGAAAAGTGGAGCCATTCTCTTAAGAAAAAACAAAAACAAAAAAAAAAGAAAAAAAAAAAGAAAAGAAAAGACAGAAAGAAAGAAAGAAAGGTGGAGGAGGAGAAGCCTGTGATACATACTTGCAACAGCACGAGCCGCACATTCGTGCGGAGTTCCGTGCGGAGTTCCATGCGGGGGGTGCATGTGCAGAATCGTGCAGGTTTTTTATTTTTATTTTTATTATTTTATCTTTTTTTAGGAGGGGGAACGGGGGGCCGTATGACAGGAAGATGGGGATGTGGCGAGGAGAGGGGGATATGGAGAGGAGGAGGATGTGGACGAGGAGGACGACGAGGATAGTGAGGACGACGAGGAGGACGACGAGGATAGCGAGGACGACGAGGAGTAGTCATCGAGATGGGGGAGGAGAAGAGATGGACGGAGGGAAAAGAGGAAGGGCAGGAGGAGGAGGATGAGTGGGAGGAGGAGGAGACATGGACGGCGAGGAAGGGGAGGACACGAGGAAGGGGAGGACACGAGGAAGGGAAGGAGACGAGGAGGCATGGCAGATGAGGGAGTACGAGGAGGAGGAGACAAGGAGGATGAAGAAGGGCAGGAGGTGGATGAACAGGAGGAGGAGGAGGAGGAGGAGGAGGAGGAGGAGGAGGAGGAGACGAAAAGGAGAAGGGAGGAGGAGACATGGAGAACGAGGAAGGGGAGGTGGAGCAAGGTGAGGCAGTCCTCCTGTAAATTTTTTTTCATCTCGCTTATAATTTTGGCGGGGGGCCTCAAACGCATCGTTTTGAACCCAGCCTTTTTATTTTTCTGAGGGGGGTGATGGGTCGTTCCCCGCACACGTCATGCGCCGCACGGGATCGGTTGGGCGCGTGCGCCGCACGTAGGGAACCGCCCGCACAACATGCGCTTGCAAGTATGCTGTGATATGAATAACACAATTCAGTTTTTGTCCGCAGATTTCATAACGGTTCCACTAGACTAAATCCATATTGTTTTAAAGTGACAGAGACAGGAACCTCCTAGACTAAACCCATAACTGTTTTATAACTGTTCCACTAGACTAAACCCCTAAGTGTTTCATAACTGTTCCACTAGACTAAACCCATAACTGTTTCATAAATGTTCCACTAGACTAAACCCATAAAACAATATGGGTTTAGTCTAGTGGAACCTAGCCCTCCTTTCTAAGTAAAGTGAAAGATATACAATATGATAATTATTATCATTATAGTGATAATTATCATGTATTTGATATTTATAATATGATCTATGATAGGTGGGGTTTATGATTGCACTTTTGACCAAGCGTGATCAGAGCCCTGGGCCGCAGCAGCGAGGAAATAGTCAGTGTAAAATTCGGGACATCCGTGAAAATTGGAACGATACAGATGCTTACAGAGAAGGTTAGCACGGGCCAAGGAGGACACGCATAAATCGAGAAATGGTCCAAGAAAAAAGAAAAATTCAAAAAAAAACAACTGTCTGTCTATGACTATGTAGGGGTCTGAGCAGGTCTAAGTCCATGCTCCATGCTTCTTTGTAGAACCTCTCGCACAGCCCATCCGTCGCGCCCTCCTTTGCCTCCCTCTTTCCTCTTTTCCTTCTGGCTGCTGTTGCCACTCATCCTGTCCTGGCTTCTGTTCCTCTGCTCCTTCCTGTTTGTCGTTTGGCTCATCCTCCTCCTCCCGTGCTCCTTGTCCTGCTCCTCCTCTCCTTCTCCTCCTGCTACTCCTGTTTCACTTGCTTCCCTCTCCTTCCTCCTCTTTCTCCTCTTCTTCCTCCACCTCCTGCTCTTTCCATTCCATGCTGCTCCTCCTGCCCCTCCTTTTATTGCTCCTCCTCCTCCTTCCTCCTCACTGTACTCCTCTCTGTCCTCCTCTTCGTCCTCATCTACTTCCCCCTCCTCCTGTTCCTGCTGCTCCTCTCCTCCCTCCTCCTGCTGCCCCCCCTCTCGTCTCCTCTTCCTGCTCCTCCTCTCCCTCCTCCTCCGCCTCCATCCTCTTCCTGCTCCACCTCTCCTTCCTCCTCCTCTTCCTCCTCCTCCTCCTCCTCCTCCTCCTCCTGCTGCTGCTCCTCCTGCTCCTCTGGATCCTCCCTCCTCTATCGCCCCTACCGTTAGGAGATGTTGGTATTGCTTCTGGCCTCCGGGTTCAATGTCTAGTCCAGAATCCTGTTTAATCAACTTTAATTACAATTTCTCCACTATTTTGTGCCACTCTCTCTCCGAAATGTATGCAAGCGCCGCGAGGATTCTCGACTCTCGCAAGTGCAGCATGGATTCTCAAATTGCGGACTCGCTACTGACATCAAGCATGAATTCTGTCGTGGCTTACTCCCGCCGCCTGCTTGAGACGTACAACTCCATTGTAAGAGAGAGCATCTCCTAGAGAGAGGACTGTTTGATGCAGAAAGAGAGAGTGGAGGTGATTGGTTGGAGGAGAATCTCGCAGAGAGAGAGGTCTGTTTGCCACGGAAACGAAGAGGGAGAAGAGTTTGTGCAAAAGTCGCTGACGTTTCCTCTCTGCAAGATCTTCAGCGTTTGTTTGGTGTTTTCAAGGAGATGACGGGGCTTGAACCAGCGTTCTCATCTTGACAGGACTTACTTAATGCTGCCAGACTGTCCTTAGAGTCAGTCGCCGCCACACAGTAGTAGTTTTGGATCCGTACATCTGGGCCTAAGCCCTCCTCCGTGCAAGCACAGATTCGAACTGGCGACCTCGACGATCTCGGACTCGAGAGCCAAGTCTCTTAACACACTACAGCCAGGACACGGTGTTCGAAAGTGGAACCATACCGGTCATGATATCCACCCCACCCCTGCAGGGCTGTAGTGTCCAACTTGACGCACACCACACTCAACACCAACAGACACGGCAATTCTCGCACACTTCACTCCAATCTACTGTCAGGCAATACGCACACCAGACCTTCCTGGATGCATCTAACCATAAATGCAGCCAGATTCTGTTGGAAAGCTTTATTTCGCGATGTGGGTATAATGCCCGTAGAGGTGGTTGCCAAAAGCTGCACACTTCTTTTTTCCTTGGTGTTTTTTCTTTTTGTTTTGTTTTGTTTTCCTGGCACACAGACTTGGTTGGTTAACAGTGACCATATCCTCTGTCATTTAAGCCAGGCAATTTTGGTAGGATAATACGATTTTATTTGTTTATTTATTTATTGATTGGGGGGAGCACTTCAAAGCAAGAGGTTTTTTTTTTTTTCCGCTTAAAACGGCTTTTGATTACAGGGGCCCAGTGCCGAAGGCAAATAGTACATCGAGATTCATAACTCACAGGGACAGTTGGGTTGTCGTGCCCCACCTCAGACACAAAGCCACGCGCCTTGTTCAACTGGAGGCCTCACGCCAACATTTGTGAGGGGCACCGGGCCCGTTTCCCGGCTTGTATAATAAAAGGACCTCTTTTATTACTGCCTCCTACCCGTGCGCTCGCCTAAACCAGGGCATGGAAACTCGTTCCAGGAGGCTAACGAAACCCGTTTGAGACCGAAACAGCTCCTATCGCAGAGCTTGGACCCTAACAGCTTCTATCAAAACCAGTTTGAGCCCGAAGCAGCGCTTATTGCAGAGCTTGGGCCCTAAAATCCGGGTCCTCGCGAAAAACTAACACTCCTTCCTGCCACACATACCCAACCAGCTACTGCCATCCTCCTGCAGATGTTGGAGTGAGCGTTCAGGTCTTAACTTCCCTTAAGTTCTCTTAACTAAGTGGTTTATATTACTTAGAAACCACCAACTTGCCCCCTCGAACCTCAGCAGAGCGTTTCTTCCTGGCCCATGTGTTATGGAACCATCTCAGCCCCGCGAACTTGCTACCCCCTTTCACCACTTTTCTGTTCCAATCGCTTTTTTAATGGCCGGTACTTTATTGTGCTTGATTTTGGATTTAAACCAATACCTTCTTCCCCTGAACATAAGACATATGCGTTGTAAACGAATACAACGCATAGGGTGCATTCTATTCGAATACAACTATTCAAATACAAAGCATATGTGTCCGAATAGACCTAACTTTTGAATACAACGCATATGCCCTATTATGCCTTCTATTCATTTTTTTTTGGAACTCGAAAAGTCGAATACAGCACATAATGCATTATGTTCGGGGGTAGATGGTAGTACACGGCCTCAGCCTTGCAGCCCGAAACTTGTCACCACAAGAAAACAAACGAGAGGCCGAAACGTCAAACGCTGGGCCCGCCGTTGATAAATTGGATCGGTGGTCGTGTTTTCATTTCGTGCTTCCAGAATTCGAGGTGTCAGGCTGGTGGCCCAGGCGCCCATGTACTGGTGCTTTAATAAATTAATACCCATATCGGAGGGGACTTTTCCTTTGAAGACCAGCAAGTTCCTTTCCTCCCATATTACCCAAAAAATGACAGTTCTAATTACATATGCAACGTAGCCCCAATCCCTCAGCTGCTGCCTCTCGTCTGGACTGTAATTGCCCCAAACAAGACCCCCCAGTTCTCATCCCACTGAAAACTTTTGTAACAAATCCTATCCCAGTGGGATCTCCACCATAACCATATTCGTCTTGATAACGGCCACGGGAGCCAGACGTGGATTGTGGACTCGAATGACCACTTGCATCTCTTGCATTTAAACCACCAGTACTTGGCCCAGCTATCGGCCGCGGCGCTTTCGCGTTAACGCACCGCGCCTTTAGGGCTTCGGGGTACCGGACCACAATGGCTGGAAGCGCCAGCCAAAATGTTTTTGAAACGGTACCCCGGCGCTTCGACGAACATCGGCGCGCAGGGGCATTCCAGGTGCGGCATCGATTGCTGGGCCAAGTATTGGTGGTTTAATTTCCACATCCATCCCTCTGCTCCTTAGCCACACTGCTGAAGGGGTAACCATTATAGAGAGGTGCCATAGAGGGGGCACTGCAGCGATCCTCTGAGACAGAATTTCCTGCAAACTTTCCCCGAACAGTTCTATTAACATGGCTAGGCTACCTTGGAGGCCTCTTTTCCAGTCACCTGAACCCATCTGAGAGTAGCAACTACCGACGGTAGATAGGTGACCTGTAACTATTTATATCCTGTCTTGATGCGGTACTCCGAGAGCCGATGAAGTTCTGGACCGTTCCATCTCCCCATTGTCGGGTTTAACTTTAAACTGCTAGTACACGGCCCCAGCATTGCAGAAAGTTTTTTGTCACCACAAGCAAAACTCGGAGGCGTCGCGCGGCCAGGCCGGCCGTTGAAAAAAAAATCGGTGGGCTCTAAAGTGGTGCGGGTTTCATGCTGACACCCGCGGGCCGATATGTGGTGTACTGGTGCTGGTTTCGCCCTGATAGGAGTCCCCTGAGGCAAACAATACGTACGCCGGACCATTCCCCATCTTCATTGCAAGTTTGCTTGACCCGGACTTTGTGACGTTCCTCCTCAGACTACTGTCTTCCCCCGAACACAACGCACCCTCATTTTGGCTGTATCTGGCCGGAAGTATAGCTTGTATACATTCATTTTTAGGGTGCGTTATGTTCGGGGGAAGACGGTAGTCTGTGTGGCCACCTCTTCATCTTGATCCACTATAGTGAGTTTGTCCTTCTTCTGTATGCAGCCGTTCGTGGAATTCCCTGCGACCATCGTCCTTCAATCCTATCAGGTTCCGCACACTGCTCTCCTCTTCTGGTTGGTCTGCAGACTCTGCACTAACGCAGGTGCCTGGGGGGTCTGTCGAGATGGAAGTTAGCGAATTCCTCCATTCTCTAGAGATCGCAGGTATAAATTTGTTCCCGTTTTTCTTCGAGCCCAAGCTTAGTTTTGAGGTCCCGCGACCATTTACCCAGCTCCCACGGATCCCGTCTCATAAATCCTTGATCCTCAAAACTCCCCTCTGGGCCCATGCCCTCCCAAAGGAAGTTGGGTTTGTGTCAGCCGTGAATGGAACACCGTCACGGTGGATGTCCAAAATCTGTGGATTATCAAAAAGTGCTTGCTGTAGGACCTCTTGGTTCGTCGCTAGAGCAACCCACGTTTTTGGCTTGATCTTCTTCCATGCTTCTAGAACGTTTTGCCAAAAGACGAATTTCACTTGCCTCCTGAGGAATGAGTGCAGCATGCAACAGACCCACACATCCGTAAACCTGGGTAGCTGCCATTCCTCCGCTAGAATGCATTCAGCCATTAACAGCCAGTGATCATCTTCGTCCGCATTGATAGCCTTAAACCACTAGTACCTTTGCCGAGTGGGAAAACAGCGGGCCTCGGGTGGGGCCTCCGACCTTTTAGGAGGCTGAGATGAAACGACAACCGCCGAGGAGATTAATCAATGGCAGCAGTCGTGGGACTCCGAACTCTTCGCGAACAGCCCGTCTCCCTAATTTCCCAACGCTGGCGGAGGTATCGTACTAGTGCTTTAACTATCCACTGTGCAAGCAAGGCCTGGTTTTATTTTAGAGGGCCCAAGATACCCAACCCACCTTTCTGTCGACAGCATATGCTCTCCCATGCTACCTTTGAAATGAAGTCGGCTTCTCCTTTGTCAAAGGGCTTCCATATGAACTGTGCTGCTACTCTTTCAACCACTTCGGTGAGCTGTTTGGACGGTAACCGAACTTTCCCAACATACCACAGAAGGGAGAAGGTGTTTAGCGATCGTAAAAAAGGATTCGTAGTTTTTCTCATCATCTATATTCGTAGTTTTCTCATCATCTATCCCGATTTTCAGCAGTTTGTTTATGATCTTGGAGGATACTCTCAAGCCGAAACCGGGTAATGGCCCCGGTACTTCAATTTGTTCATAATTTTTTTCTACATGTCTTCATATGGGACGCTGGGCCCGATTCCCAGCACATGCTGCTCCCCACGAATAGATTGGAGCATGTCTTCCAAAAAAAAAAGGGAGAATAATGCCACATTCAACGCCATTGCTCTACCAAATAAGGAAAGGTGTGGGGTCGGGCCACATAAGCGAGAATAATGCTACATTCAACGTCATTCCTCTACCGAATATGGAAAGTTTTCTGTTGTAGGATATCGCACTGCAGCTCGCCGCATTTACCCAGAGCAACCTGGACTCCCACGTAGCACTTGGACGTCCGTTCTGATACTCTCTTCATACCAAGTTCTACAGCGAGGCAGCGCTATTCAGGTCATGGTAGTAAATCAATCGACTTACCCCAGTTGACCGGTGCTTCCGAAAGACTAGAGTATTCAGCCAAACAGTCCTTCAGGGCCATTAAAGCACCAGTACGAGCCAGTTATCGGCCGCGGGGCCCTTTCGGAGGCCCCCCACTGCCAATTCATTTTATCTGCGGCGCTCGGCCTCCTTTTTTTTGTTGTTGTTTAAAGCTATATATTCTTCTCTCATCTATCTCACTTTTCTTGCTAGTACTCATCTATCTCATCCTCTCACTAGTGTATGTGTAGTACGGGGGAACACCAACCAACCCGGATCTGGATCTCTCCCCGGCCCACGGGGTAGGTTGGCACCACAGCAGTGGTGCGAGAGCAAGGCTGTACCAGTCCCTCATCACGGTGACGAGGGGTGGGCAGGCATTGCCGATGGGGGAAATCGGCGGCTCCTAAATTTTAGGAGAGGCTCAAAACAGGTTCTCCAGTTGCCTGGGGCCATGTACTGGTGGTTTAAGGAATTATACGTGTTTGCTGAGACGGCAAAGAGATCATCTGCTAACGCTTTGACTTTACACATCTGATGTTACACCTTCAGGCCAACAATAACATCAGCCTTGGGCAATGGGCCCGTTTAAAAAAAAAAAAAAAAAAAAAAAAATTGTGGGCGCGATGTAACGTTGCATACCGAAACTTCCAAACGCAGAACGAAGATCAGCGGGGGGAGTGGGCAACCCTGCCTCAAGGATCTCGAGAGGGCAAACGGTTTAGACTCGTTAGAGACCATACCATTTATCATAACTGGTGATTTGGAGGCGCCATACAAGCTACACACCGCCTTACAGAAGTTGGGACCAAAACCAAGATGCTTCAACGTGGTGACTGCATGAGCCCAATTAACCCGGTCATATACTTTCTCTAGGTCTAACAGTAACACAGCTAAGTCTTTTTTTTTTTTTTTTTTTTTTTTTTTTTCAGAACCTCTTGGTTCTGGCTCCTGCCATTCTGGGGAGCAACAGTCTGGTTCCTATTCCCCCGGCAAGTCAATGAATAGTACAAGGTTGACTCACACCACGCTCCTCCCCATTAAGGTTGAGAGGCCCGAGTGGGCGGGATTTATTGCTTCCTGCGAGAAGGATGTACCACCCCTCACCCCTGCCTAAGTTAGCCTATTGCAGCTAAGTCTAAGTTATTACTCTGGATTATCTCCAAGGACTCAAGGGTTGCCGCTACATTATCGGATATGCATCTCCCCTGTACAAAGACCGCCTGTTCTCTGTCCACTAAGTAGGGAAGAGAGTAGGTCAATCTTCTGGCCGGAGTTTCGGAAGGAGAGAGATAGGTCTCCAGTTCCTAATGTCTGCCTTGTCTCCTTTCTTGTAAAGTACGGAGATGATACCATATGACATTGGAGGTGAGATCGGTTCACCGCGCAGTACAGCGTTATATATATATATATATATAATAGGTGAGGAGCAAGGATGTCCCAATGACACAAAAGGAACTCAACGGGCGGGCCGTCCCTACCAGGGGTTTTCCCTTTAGCCATAACGTTTACTGCCTGCCTCAGTTCTACTAGAGAGATTGGCATGTCCGAATTCTGTCTATTTGAGCACTTTATCCTCACCTTGAGATTGGACCAGTGAAGAGAGTCGTCCAATAGATCCTGATCCGGCCTCTTGTTGGGCCTCCTTGAAGTCAAAATGTCCTTGAAATACGTACTCATGCATCTGTTGAAGAGAGTTTGCTGACCTAGCTGATGAAATGAAAGGGTGTTGAAGAGTCTTCATTGATTGGGCCGCTGATTTTGGTGTCAGCTTTTGGAAATTGTCTCTCGTCATTCTATCGTATACTACCAGCCCTTTCACTCTCAGGCTCGCTGCCCAAATCTCCGATTTTTTAATTTGTTAAACCGCCAGTACTTAGCTATCAAGTCCGAGCCTCGGCCGACCGGTATGCCGGGCCTTGCCGAGGCTCGAACTACCGGGCACTAGCTTCCCCTACCTGGTTGCAGAAGAACACAGAAAAGAGAAAAATGTGCAAAATGAGAGTGAATCGACGGCTAGAACACGGAAAGATACACCACCATGGTTTTTGTCTTCACGAAATCTGTGGCACGACAGCCGGCGGGCTGCTTGGAGGACCCCGCACAGCCTGGCGACTCTCTCTCTCTCTCTCTCTCTCTCTCTCTCTCTCTCTCTCTCTCTCTCTCTCTCTCTCTCTCTCTCTCTCTCTCT